TATATTATATATATGTGCGAATAACAGTACCTATAATAATTGCACCGTTTGAAGAATTTTTCATTGAAAACAAAAGATTTTAAACCGCTTTTCCGTTGCATTAATTTTCAGTACAATTTACTTAAAGAATTAATCGTTCTCTAAAGGTTCTACTTGAGAAAAAGTCTTCATTCTCAATCATATTCGAAATCAAACAACTATTACAGTTATTTCTTTTTTCATAATTCTTTTATTAATACTTACTGCCGATTCTCATTTATAAAATCAAATTGAAACAATTAAAACGGTTCAAAGACATCAATTAGTAGGTTTAAATGCTAAAAGTGGAAGAAAAATTAAAATTGAAATGTAATGGAAGTAATAAAAAAGAAACTTTTGAGCACAATATAAGATATGATTTAGAAAATGATGATAGAAATTTAAACGAAATAATAAAAATCAAAATTTCTTTAACAAGAAAAAATAAACTTGAAGAATTTTATGTCTTATGTTAAAAAAAGTTATATATGTCAAAAAGCAGACTTTCCAAATTAATATACCAATGTTTGAAAAACTACCACCGTTTTCTTTAGTCAAAGAAATGGAAGAAAATTTCAATGCATCATAGAACATTTATAAGACAAAAATGTTTTTATCCTCACATCAGTCTGGAAAATCTTTCATAGATTAATTTCTCAATGAAACCACGAATATTGTATTTTCCAATCAAAAATTTGCACAACCTTACATTAATCAAAAATTGTCTTCCAATCTTCGCCTATTTCCAAACTGAACAATCTCTCTCACGTATCCAATTGATCACATCAAATCATTTTGACCTTCGAAACTGTATGTAACCATTTAAAATCGAAATTTTTTCAATATGATTTCCAGTTATTCATCACAGAAGTGAAAAGATGACCTTCAAAGTCTTCATAACATTATCAATACCATCAATAACAATTTCCACCGTGAATTATTCGAAAAAAAGAAAAATGGTCGGAACGGTAAAATTAAAAAATCCAGACAATCACTATCCTTTGAAGAGACAGCTATTTAAAAAACAAACAAAAATCGAAAAAGACTAAACCAAAAACAATGGAAGCAATCTTCCAGAAAAATTCAGAAGCCATCTGGAAATGTCAAAAATCTGCTTAACTGCAAATATAGAATGAATAACACTTCTATCGTCAAGTTGTGCATGCCGACGCCGACATAAACTCCGCAACCCGCATCTTTTTTTGTCTACTACTCTCTTTCTCAATCACCTAACAACTTATTAGTGATTAAGCAGAAGCGAACATCCTGTTAGGATCGATTATTAAAACAGGCTACACTTTCTCATTTCTTCTGCCTCCAATTGTATTTATTTGCTTGCACCTTTAAAACCCATCCAACATTATATTGAACTTCCGTCGTTTCTAATTCCTTCCAAACCTTATTTACCCAAACACATCACGCAAGTCTAAATAGATTAAAATTACCAAGTAAATGAAAAGAGTAGCAGGCATTTCCATGCGTTGTCAATGAATAAATTGTTGCTAAAAAAACTCGTTGTTTTGAATATGGTATGTGGTATCTAAATTATACTACATGATCTCGATCGGCTAAAATATAGTTAGCATTAAGATCCTATTTAACGGCATCATAAGTTGCATAATTTTGAACTTGAATAATATTGTGGAACGGATCTATTGTAGCTTGTTAATCCCAATGAAATAGTTAATGTATATAAGATTCCATATCTGGATAATTAACCATGCAAAAAACAAAATTTTGTAGAATAATCGATATATTTGTATGATGACAATAACCTGCAATGATGTGCAACCTAAAAGCTAATGTGCACATGTATTTTCCGATCTGGAGTATTGAAGTCTTAATGAAATACTCGAAACTTCAAAAATGACAGATATACAGCACACAGAAATAACAAACACAGAAATTTTTCCATCAATATTTCTCTAGCTTCTAAAATAAGTGTAGAAAAGCATGTGAATGGATAGTGTGGGAACCACAAAAACATAAAATTTGCAAATAAATTGAAATAATTGATATATGTAGAAATCTAAGTCTAAAAAAAAATTGATTAAGACAGGAAATTCTACTAAAGCTGAGGATGTAACCTAAGGCAAATGCTAATCAATATGAAGTATCATCGAATTTTAAAAGATAATTTTATTTACAAAAGAGCTTCCATTGGCTGCTCAAATTCTTGCCTGCACTTGATTTCAAAAATTACATCCCAACTCATATCAATTTCTTTTTCAGCCGACTTAAAACTGATTTTACTCTAAACTTATGCATCAGAACATGAAACACAGATTACAAAAATTTTAATTTTGTACGGAGGAAAAACTTAAAAGTAATAGACTACAAAATGAAAAATGCAAAAACCTACAAACTCTTTTACAAATCAAAAAAACAAAAAAACTCCTTTTTTTCTCTCATAAGACACAAAAAACTGATGCTCCATCATCACACCAAGTCTCTTATTTCTCGCTGATAAATTGCAATGTAAGGAAATTGCTCATAAGAAATTTTAGCATAAACGATAATTAGAAAAAGAAGAATGAAGTAGCAGGAAACTGAATTCTTCAATAGAAACATAAAGCTTATCAAACTTAAACCAATTTTGAACTTTGTTTTCATTTCTAAACGAAAAATAATTATTAGGTACAATCTTACACCAGTGTTATCCAGTTTTTGTGGTCATTCAAGTACAACATAGTTCCGATAAGGCAGTAGCACGGAAATAACTTGATGAAATACTTAGATTATTCACCGCACAATAGTTGTCGATCTGGATAAATACACCATAAAATACTTCGAAAGCAAAAAAAAAATAAATTGATACAAACAAACAAGACCAACATGACTATATGAACAAAGTGTAAGTAAAATCATATCCAGAGAACAAGATTTTGAAAGAAATCAAAAATTCATTCAATTATTCGAATCCCTACAAGTAAGTTGGAGATTTCGGATAACTTTCTCCGCGGCTGATTGATGATAATCAGTAATATTATTAGCTGACCAGGTATCAAGTATTTTAACATCAGCTAACGTTAAAGCAACATATTGTTCCAAAGAACATTTAACTTCTTGTGAACATGGTCGAATTAGTGAAGACAGAGTATTTGCGCAAAAATATGTATCCAAAGGACAATCCTGACGTGAACAGCAAATCAATAATGATATGAGCAGATTTGTCGTGAACTGAAATAATTTATGGATAAGAAATACCATGTATTTCGTAAATCGAAATGAATTAGACAACGAACTCAAATTTTGTCCAGTCCTATATCCGCTCCATAAAATCTCACCTTTCAAAGCGTTGGAATGCTAATTCAATCAAATTTATTCAGTTACTCAATCTTGAAGCGACTACCGGCAAAATAATTAGTTATATAAAAAAGTTTTGACAAATAAATTACATTTAGAAAATAAGTAATTACCAGGTTCATAGTTATATCATTAGTGAAATCCAATTTCAAGTTATTAATAAAACCAATGAGCGTATTTTTCGAAAAATGAGAAAACGTTTCGAATATTGGCACAAGTAATGAGTCATTCATCTGAAATAATAGTTTTTATCAAGAAAGAAAATATGGTTTGCGATAGAGTATAGGTAACGCAAGATTTAGCAGCGGATTCTCCAAAGATGTTTACAGAACTTACCAAATAATTTTGATGGCACTCTATAACACAAAAATTTTTTAAAAAAAATTCAATGTTCCCAGAGCAAGCATCGCAACTTATACCAAGAGGAAAGAAATGCAAACCTCATTTGATGGAACTTTTTTGACAACACTTGATAAAGCGACAAAAAAACTTTCAAGAAGATATAATTGCTGTTCTTCGTTAGCAAGTGATAGTGTCCTTGCAAACATTTGACGCCCTTTATTAATTAATAAAACAGCTTGCAGGCGTCCGTTTAAACACAGAGTCTCAATTATGGTTTTCATACGGCTTTCAACACCACTCCTGAGCTTTTCCCTGTAAGAACACACGAACAATGAAACAGTAAATGAGACTCGCTACAGTACGCATTTATTAAATAAAAACAAAAAAAAATAAAAGCTGCTGTCTATGTTTTCCACAGAATAAAAATTAGATGAAAATCGAAAACAGAGACATATGAACATATTTCAATTTACTATATTGAAGGAAAAATTTACATAAAAACAAAAAAGTTTTACTGAATTTCATTAGGAAGTGAAGGAGCACACAATATTCGAAGTCTATCGTTACACTCAATAATTGATAACGCGATATTTTCCAGCTGCAAAAGAAGTGCCCGCAGTTTTTTCTGTGATGTATTACTCTTCACTGAAAGTTTATCGTCATCATCCAATGAGTCGCTTGATAGATCGATAAGCTGAAATTCAAGAAAAGATTACTGATTATAATTTTCAAAGCTGTGAGTATGCGATATTCCGCTTATGCAATGAATAAATGCAATAAAGAGATCATTTTATATCATCTGTGCATGAATCCTTTCATCTAGCGTGATGTATTTATTTCTTGGTAAGCATTTGAAAACAACTAAGAACTGCTTCCGAAAGGCTCGAAGCATAAATTCCTTCGTTCGCTTAAACTTATTAATTAACGAACAAGATGTAAAAGAAGTAAGAGTTGTGGCATGTGGTCTAACATGATACACACGGATAAAAATGCAAGGAAATATCAGATATGCAGAGAAATAAAATCACTGAAAGTGACAAAATTCAAAAGTTCTGTTGACAGTTGTAGGGATAAGGTGTAGCAAATGGATCTGTACACCAAACAAGCAAGATTGTTAACAAAAGATCTCAGGGAAAAAAATTAACCTGTCTCGGATAATTAATAGTGGAAAGTGTTGGCTTTCCTAAACTACCAGCAAATGTCGGCGGAACATAACGACAATGATGCAGATTGGTGGTGTCCCACACATAACCACTATCTTCGTTCTCCGTTTTCAATCCTTTTTTGCGCTTCTCAAGAGCCATTTTCTGTTGTTTCCATGTCTGTGGTTGAATAAAACAATAAGTAATGAAAATAAAAGAAGACAACTGAAATTTCATTAAACAGATTGAATACGTAGAGCAAGTGAACAAAATGTCAATAAGTGAAAAAGTAATCACATATTGAATATTAAATTGCTATGCTCAACACACTGATAAGAGAAATTAATAAAACTGCTAATCATAATTTCGTGAAAGTAAATGGATCAGGAAGCAACAATTTATCCTAATTAGTTGGAGTATACGATATAGAATCTGAATGTAATCTTTCTCTTTTACACTGGCTGATTGGCAAACATAAAGATATAAGTTAAGGAAGACATAAAACAAACCGTGTAATAAAAATCATCTTCGTACGGATTACCGCATCCCTGGCACTGTAATTCCTGAATTTTAATAAGCCAACTGCGCTCTTTTTTGGAAACGAAGCCAGCAAAAGGATGTAATGCAAAATCAGAAATTGTTTTATTGGATACTAGACCAGTAAGCTTGCTCGAACGATCTCGATTGTAACTCATGTTGTGATGGAGTACCTGAGGAATATGGGATTGCATCTGAGATTGCGGAGGACAAGGCAAATAAAAAGGTAGTGTTGGTCGACCTGACCTGAAAAAAGAATTCCATTTTTTTATAAGACATAAAATGTCCATCAAAATATCTACACTCGATATATATCGATATTTACATATTTGCATTGTTCAAAGTTAAAACATTGAAGACTGCTAATATTGAATTTTGTAACAGGAAGAAACAAACATTAGGTGGGAAGATTGTTGCGCGAAAGGAAACGGCGGAAGCATTAGACGTGAAGGCATTCGCATCATAGGTGGTGGTCTCAGTGAAAGAATAGCTGCTCGCATCTGTGGTGTTATCGGTGGAAAACCAGGTGGCAATTCCGGCAGTTGACCGAGCAAATAGGCTAAAAAAAAAGCAATTAAACAATAAAATTTAAGATTTTGAAAGTGGAAAACTGGTTTAAAGATAAACAAGAACTTAGATTCGTCACAAATCCGATTTCCATTACTATTCTTATTGTATATCATCCTAAATTTTGACATCTTTCTGAAAAGCTCATGGTCCTGAGAGCATTACTATGTAACATATTGAAGTACACTTCAGAACGTAAGTGGTTTTTAGTTTACGAATCTAACTGAGGTTAATTTCGTCTTAATTGCTTAATTTCAAGAGTTAAGAAAAATATATATATAAGCAACGGATATAACGATTTATGGTCTTGAATAATTTTCGGTTGCTTTCATTGCAAAAATAAACAAAACAGACCTCTTATAGTTTGCATGGCGAAAGGATGTGACATTGGAAAGGGCAAGCAAGGGAGTGGAGGAAGGGGTGGTGGATGAGGGATCCTCGATGGAATTCGTGAATCTGGTGGTAAAACACCTCCCGATCGGTCAATGTCGGGATTAGAAGCTGCTACATGGCTTGCTGATTGCATCAGAAATCGACTTTCTAACTCGGATAATGTTACGGCACCTGCTAGAACAAAATTGAAAATATTCAAAAAACCTAAATCTTGAACACTCAAAGGTGAACATACGCAAACATTTTAAGTTAATAAACCTGGCGGCAAACGCAGCCCAGTTGGATCTGTTGGCTTACAAGCACTGGTGATGTGGTTCCTTTCAATTTCTTCAAGAGTAAGCGCATTCTTTGGTACCGCTGCCAGTGAGCGAATACCATTACTTTTATCAGAACATTCTTCCTGTGATAAATTATTCTGTAAATATCAATATCTCATATTTTAACCTTGATTCCTACATGGAACATATTACAATGCAATCTTCTATCTATATTATTAATAAACAATGAAATAAGCAAGCAACATTAATGTGCAATAGGCAAGCTCTTGAACTGCATCATTTTACCTGCTCTTCATTATAAGGCCAGAAGTCAATTTAATTAATTTCAGTAATAACTGATTTAGTCCAGACAAGTCTCGAGAACGATATTTTCATGCAAAAGTACCTTCTCCCCTAGCGAATTGGTCTGATCCAGGATTGTTCTATTTATAAAGTCATGTGCAGAGGAATGCTGAAGTGCTGAAAATTCTGGACCACTCCAACCCAATGATGACGTTGTAGAATCAACACTTTTCCACAACGTATCGGTCGTCCCCTATAAAATTCAGCATGTTTTAACAAATTTTAAGTGAATCACATTTTTTTGCGCAGTAATTACGGAACCTAACAAATTACTGTGCACACAGATGCAAATGCAAGAACTATCTGACTCATGAAATTTTGTTTTCCATCAAGCAACAATGCAAATAAGTTTCACATACGAGTTGCATTTTGAAATCCTCGAAATTTTTGCAGTGAGACGAAGATGCATTTGCTGTGGAAAATGCATTAAATCCAAATGGAGGTGCTGGTAATTCAGATGGGTGCGGTGCAGATACCGAGCAGGTAGGTCCATTAAACCATTTCTGTGCTTCATCATCCAACTGTAAACCGGCTGTCTATAAAAAAATTTGTCCCTCAAATCAGCTCATAAATTGAATATTAAAAGAGGAACCGAACTTGCCACAGATGGATATGGTTCTGCCTTTCCTTTCTTGTCATGAAAAAAAAATTTTCTGACAATAACAAGGGACTTCCTCTCCAATATATCCGTAATCCATAACATAACTTAAAGAATGAGGAAAATGTCCTGACATGGGTAAAAGAATTTCAGTTGTTTTAAAATGTGGAATAAAGCAAAGCTTCTACTTGTTTCGAATATTGTTCCAAGTCATCATCCAAGACGTCGTCATCGACATCCACTCCAAAAGTTTCATCATTGATTGCATCGATGTTGTCATTCAGTTGCTCGCCATCCAATTCCTGAAATTCGCAAAACTTTTGCACTTCCGACACAATCGAGCTTCTCATGATAGAATCTCTTACCCCAAAAATTTAAAAGATTACTAATCGTTCCCTCCTCAAGATACTCTGCAAAAAACGAGAAATGTGAACAACTAACATCATCTTCAGGCAAAACATTAAAATTAAAATCATCAAAATCGTTTGGTAGACATCTTCCACCAAAACCTTTCAAATCGATTCGTGACATGGCTCTTCGAGATATTGCTCATGACGGGTTAGTTTTCAGACAAATAAAACTTGCTTAGTAGCACATACCCTAAAATTAACTTCTTCCAATTTACAAAATAATTTTTTGAACGCACATAAATTTAAATCTATTACAACAAATGAAAGGGTGTAAAGAAAAAGACCCGGCAGATAATGCGCTAAAAAAAAAAAAACACTATTAAACTATTAAACTATTAAATTAAGCTATAAAAACTATTAAAAAAAAATTAAACTATAAAAACTATTAAAAATAAAACTAATAAAAACTATTATAATCTATCCATGTTCAACAATATCAAATTACCGAATAGCTTAATGCGTACACCGATTTTCGTATTTTTGACTTATTCGTAGTGGAAAGTGAATGGAAGAGAAAAGACGAGAAAGTCCTATATCTAATCTCAATATATACAACCATCTGCGACAAGTAAGAACAGGAGTAATCTATAAAAAAAATTAATAAATGTCAAATAGCTGTTGACCTTGCATACAAAAAATATACAATTGCGTTCACTCATTATTATGGTGTAGATTATATTTCTATTTCTTGTCATTTCTATATTTTGCTTCCTCTTTTGTTAAGAAGTACTTCTCTTCAATACGATCAACGGTTACTTCTACTTTATCTGTAGAGCAAACTAATATCATTTCTATTATTCATAACATCTCCTACTATACACTATTCTTATTATCCTCAACGACTACCATCCACCTGAAGGTTTCCCTTCAGAGAAGAAGTATTCCTCCCCACCTCATTGTTCAAAATGATCCAGGAATCCGAAAACAGACGAGGATTGTTGCATCGTTTCTAAATGCAAAAGATTGTGAAATTTGGCATCTGCAGATTTCTGTTTTCAGTAAGTGTTCGAATTGGATTATTAGAATTCGGCCATGGAATAGGAACACAGAATCGCAGTATTTAACTTTAATGACTTCAAATCTAATTTGCGTTAGCAGCAAAAGCTCTAATTTCAAAACTATTGTATTTTTGGTGTCTTCTTTTTTTTCACAATAGCAGCATTTCAGTTTCATTGCATTTTTTATCAAAAGTAAGCGTTGCTTTCCTCACATTATTTTAAATTTAATTAACTTCTTCTCAAACTAAAAGAATTTAATTAATTTAAGGTATGAGAATTTCATTTGAAAATAAAAAGAACAGTGAAAGGGAAATAAATATATCGAAATCGTTGATTATATATTTCCATACGTTTGAATAAAAAAAGACAGTCATTAAGTGAAATGATAATAACATTTCATGGAATTGCAAAATCATTCCTTATCACATAACATTCGTAATAGAGGCTTTAAATCTAATAATTTCCTATTTTTTATTATGACTCATTCTGTGACGCTAATTCAAAACAGATTGATACTTAATGGATTTAAAAGTCGTGGATTCCAAATCATACTTTTCGATAAATTACCGTAGAAATGCTAGATGTTTAAGTTTCAATGACAACTTTGAATTATAATAGAAACAAATTCAAAGCGATTATCAATTACATTTATTTATTCATACCATTTTCATCCACTTCTATATAATAAGCAGTACATTTGTGCCAATATTTATCCATCAATTAATTAATTCATCCAACCATAATTTCTCTCTTTTTATCAATCGATCCAATCATCTTTGTTAACAATGACACTGACAACATTAATGTAATAAATGAACATTCGTAATTTCATTCAATTAATACAGTAAGTGGAAAGTGTAATCAAAAATGAACACAGAAGAATTGATATCAACATGGAAAGTTTGATATTTTAAGTAAGGTGGTATAAAAACTTTAATATTTTGAGTAATTCTACAAGGTGGTATAAAAAGTTTAATATTTTAAACTGAAATATCTACCTATCAAAGTATATTATTGAATTTTATTTTGTGCTCATTGAACTGATTTTTCTTCTTTCCAACAGGTAGTCAGATTTTAAATATCACTTGAACATAAATATTTTCAATTGTTATTCTTTCCATTTTGTTATGTCTATTTTCGGTATTTGAGCGCATGATATCATTTGACCGATACGGAATGCTTCTTGTGGTACTTTATTGATATTATCACCATTATCGCACAGCAAACGAGAAAAGCTACTTTTACGAATCTCAGTCAACTGAGCTTGTGTAAAGATACCTGGATTTTCGTAGTAGAATCTAAAATAACATTTTATTACCGCACATAGCGGAGCAATTAGTTGCCCTTTAACCTCATCGATCTATCGGAACAAAAATTCGCCAATATTTACCGCACGAAATATCATTCGTTAATATGTGTCAAGAAGAATGAAATAAATTTGAAGTGAATGAAAAAAATTGCCATATTTTTATCAAAAGTTTTTTTAAAAAACTAGTATGTGCTAAATATTTGAATATTCTTTTACCGGTCACCATCTCGTGTCCTCTGAAACTGCGGTCCAATTATGCATGCAAAAGTTGGTCCAACAAAACCTTTGTGAACAGGATCTTCCACTAAGCCACCCACAAACAAATCTATGTTGTCTGAAAGATGAAGGGTCAATTTTATGAAAAATGTTCAAATTTTTATTTTATTACTAAAAATTGGAAAATTTTATCATGAAATGTATGAGATGGAAAAAGAGCGAATAACATTCTTACTCACTTCCCGGGAATGAATCATACCTGGTCTACCGTAAAGTTTCTTTAGTTTTGCTCGTATTCGAGGATTCATAATTTCATGTGAAAGCTAAAATTCAAAGGAATATTAAATGAAGTTAAAATTCAATTAAATTATTCCAATTAATTGTTCAACAACAAAATTCCAACATTCTATTAGTGTATCGAATATATCTTTCTTGACTACAACCAATGATTTTATTTTATTTTATTTTATTCATTGAAATTTTCTTAGAAAATTCAATATGACAAACTTTAAACTAATAATGAAATAGCTACTAAATCTTTTGTTATTGTCTTAGGTATTAAAGTTGATCAGGGAATCAATTGATACAACAATCATTTAAATATAATTCACGTCAGTTATGTGATACAGTAGTTTTGCCTACAGATTTTAGAAAAAGATATCAAAGTAAGTACTCGAAGATATTAGAATTAGCTTATCAAAAAGAGAAATATTTGCAAATTGGAATGAAAAAAAAATGGAAGAACAAACATCATCAAAAGTGGTAGCATGTGAAAGACCACAAAATTGTCGAAATTGTGTATACGATGGTAAGCCATGATCACGACCACGTTGTATATTTATAGTACCTAAGTCTGTATTACCGAACATGTTTTCTGTTATCGATTTCGTAAGCCGTTGTGGTCGTTTCACCGGTAACATCATCATACCACGTAGTATTGGATCAATGCCACCCTAAGAATAACCACTAACTCTGTCCACTACATTTTTTTTGTTTGGTAGACTTATCCTAATCATATTTACCACTCTTCTATAGCAGTAAAACTTACATAATTATCTCTAAACAAAATATGCCGTCAACGAGATTTATCTCATTCATTTGATTTTATCATAAAAGCCATTGCCATATCATTTTGTGTGATAAGAGAATTTGATAAAGGCTTACACCAAATATCAAGCGATCAGTATGTTGTGTTCCTCCAACGAATGGAAAACTTCCTAACGAAGTATTATGGAAATGTTCATCAAGACGGAGATAAATTTCCTTAAGTTTAAGAAGTTTTGATACATTCTAATTCATTAATGAAAGTGTCTTTGAACTAAAAAATTCATCTAGCTGTAAGCAAAAAGAAGAATTTGTGCAAAAATTATCGTAATGAACGATTGCTTTTGTTAATTGTGTTTAACAGATGAAAAAATTGAAAATGATATTTCTGATATTATTAATTGCCAATTAATAATTTAATTTTCTTTCTTTTTTCACTTTTCTAAAAAAAATAACATTAAATACTTGTATCATTCCATGACCAAATCGAAATGCTGCCGAATTAAATTCAGTAACTAAAGTCGGATCAACACTTGCATTATATCCGCGATATTTACCAATTGCTGTAGCAAATGCATTTCCCAAAATTATTGGTAAAAATTCTCTACAAACAATAAATATTAGCCAATAATTTTTATATCTCTCAATCAGACATAGAATTTGTATAATTAGCAGGAAATTTCCACAAAGAAGAAAAATAATTTACTGAGAACAATGCCATTTATTATAAACTAATTAAATATGAACTATTATTCAATTATGCTTTCAATCTCAGTAAAATATTTTTAATTTTCTCAAAAAGTTTTCAAAATTCTTTATTTTTATTTTAAATTCAAATTTATTTCAGATTTTTTGATTGTAATTTAGAAATATTGAAATTAAAGGAATAACCTATAAGTGATAGCTTGAACTTCTGCGCCAACAATTTTTCTCGCTTCCATAAATAATCGATCACCGTTCCAGTGCCGATTCAATTTTTGCAATTCCCTTACTAATCTGTAAAAGAAAAGCTAAGAAAAAAAGAAATAAATTTAATTGAAAAAAGATATATTAGCTCTTTAAGTTTTTCGAAAAAAAAAGTTTCATTCTTTATTTATTGTACTATAATTTGACGATAAAAGCGCATCACTGATAAACTTTTGCGCCAGCTTCCATAAATAATCAATCGATCATTGAATTATCGCACAATAAATAAAAATCAATTGGTCATTTTTTGATAACGCTTTCTCATCGCTAATATAAACTTAAAAAATTCATTTAATAAAAGAAAAGAGCTCTAAATTAATCATTAGCTAAACAAAAAATTAACTGAAGTAAATTTGATTTATGCTAATTATTGATTGAGAAGAATCATTATTCGTGTAAGATAATTGTCCACGTGAACAGTATCACGTTTAAACTGAAGTATTGACGTTAATATGAAAGTAATGTCCAAAAAGCGTTACTTCAACTTATCAAATTTTTATTCATATCTTTTCATCTTGTAGTAATTAATTGTTTATTGAAATTTTCAAAAAATAATGAATAATTATTTTGCAGCAACAAAAATTGATGATTCATCAAGAATTATTAACAATTAGTTGTCAGATTATTTGCAATATTAAAATATAATGAATAGTTATTAACTATTCCTCTCTTTTTTGTTTTAAAATAATTCTGTTAAATGACTTTTTCTGCGACAGATTAATTAACAGAATTAAAAATTTTGCTAAGTGAAGTATACCGATTATGTTCTCGTGTTAATATAATGTGATAAGAGCTAAGGCCTATGAATAAGTTTACACGACTGTCACCAGCAACAAAAATTGCTGAACAGGATGCAGCATTACGACATGTACTTGTATCAAACGGAAGTAAGTGAAATCCATTGAAGGAGATTGTTTTTAGGAAACCTGTCCGACCATCTCGAAATTTATGCAAATCCTGAAATTTAAATATAAAGGGTTCATAATTTTATAAATATTGGATGAATGATATATGAAATATCGATTCACTTTTGTGCTTTTCAATGAACAAGATAACGAGACATTTATGATAATGAAATAATGCATTAGAAAGACTAGAACGATTGATAATATCATCCGGTAATCTTAAATTTTCTGAAAAACGAACTCACTCCAACACTTGATCCATAAATTGGTGAACCATCAATAAAATTTGTATTTTCATTAAGTTGTTGCCGTGGTTTTTGTTTTCCGGAACCGCATATAGCACTAGAACGTGAAACCCGAATGCATCTATTGGATTTGAAACTAAAATTAAAAATTTTGAAAATTTTTGTCGAAAATTGTGAGAATTAACAATAAGTGTTGTCATCTTGCATTGAGTTAAATTTCAAATAGAATTTCATGAAATATAAAAATTAGTGAGGAAAAAAAGGCGTGCTTTTTATTGGGATCTCTTGGAAAGATAGGAACAGCCATGCATCGACCCCGAATATTCTGGCAAACATTGCACTTGGCTGATGGCTGAAGCGTTGTCTTTGTCATCTCATGACTAAGATATTGTCCCCATTGCATTAATAAAGCGTTGTATTCTTCATGTTGTACTGCTTTTCGAGATGAAAGTATCAGTCGACTAACTTCACGAGCATTCGGTCTGGTTGGTGATATGGAACCGGAAACAAATTCAATTATTCATTTTAATCTTTTGTCTTAATTTAAACCAATCTCCTATACAGATTTTCTAATAAGCCTTTAATTTCTCATTGAACAGGAAAGCTGAGAGCATACTTTAAAAAAGATGCAAATTTAGAGAAACAAAAAAATTAAAGACTAACCAACCGGCTCCGAAAGTTTATTATCATATTCTGGCAATAGCAATCTATAATGTAATATATCAGTGTAATATTTTTATAAAATTGAGAAGAATTGATAGAGATATAAGATTTTTTTTATCGCGATTATCAATAAATACAAATTATCATTTTCAACGAATTCATTTTAAAAAGAAATAGAAGTTATAAATTTGACATTTTACATTCAAAATATTACAATATTTCAAATGTGTTAACATTTATTGTACAACCTGTTATAAGGACGAAAAGCAGCCCCACGTAATGGTTGGAATAGATTGTTGCAAGTACCATCCATAGTACGATAATAGAGATTGTAACAAAGTGAACGTTGGCATTCTGCTTCATCTAAACGTGGAACACAACCAAAAGCAATATTTGATCGTACCACTTCTTCTTGTGTTAATGGTCGTCGACCTGATAAGTCTGAAATATTTCTATGTTAACTAAATTTTTACATTTTAATTCTAATTTATATTAAGGGACAGATTTTTCAAGGAATGAATTAAATACATTTTCATTGGATCGATTATATTATTCTTTCAACGTGAAAAATTTCATCGAATATAATTTAATCGGCAAAATCTTATCGATATCACTTATTTAAATTGTAAATTCTCCATTTTTTCTTTCAAAATCAGAAAAAAACGAAAAAGCAATTTGTATTAAATAAAATTTTATGCTTACTTTTACAATGCACACTAAAGTGAGGAAACAAAAAAGGAAGATATTACCGACAGCTTATTGATCATTAATAGAAATGTATGAAAATTCAACAATCAACAGAAATCCATCTTATTGTATTTGATACATTGATCTCATTTGATATTGCATTTCAGATAAGTTACTTATTGACATTTTATATCAAATAAATTGGCCATTAATATTGCATGTGAAATAAATTGGCCAAGTTGATTTTAAAAATATTGTTGTGTATGAGGCACGGATCTTATTTGATATTGTATCCTTCCACTTAGGTTGTTTAAACTTGCGAAATTAAAGCTAACCTTCAACCGAGAAAATGAGTCGTTCACGGAGTAAAATTGCAGCTGAATTGGAAGGATTAGTCTGAATCTGTTTGCAACGGTCAAGAGCTGTTAGTCGTCGAGTTGTTGCAGTTCGATGTGTTGGATGCAAAGTGATAATTGAATGATTATTTAGCCGATGTCGATGATTTTTTGATGGCCTAAAAATTATTTTCATATATTTAGATTAACTGAAAACTGTTTGAAAATGCTAATTTAAATTTAATTTCATAAACTATCTCTGATGCTTCTTATCAATTGTATCATTGGAAATACAGTTAAAGTATAACTAACTTCAATTTACAAGCAATTTCAATGGTTACTTAATTAATCAAATTTTAATAAAAGTGTCCCTTTTATGTTTATTTTTGCGAAGACGCTTTTTTTTAGGTTTTTTATTTGATCCATGAGGATGGCGAATTGTACCGATCGACAATCGGCGATGATGAAGCGGTCGTCGAGAGAGTCCTAAAAGAGAAATTATTTTCTTAAATGTTACATTATTTAAATTAATCTCAAAAAAAAAAAACATAACAATAAACTGTAAAGATAAATCAAAGATAGCAAATAATCTGTCAAAAAGATCTATTAGCAGCATGAATATTTCCAAATATATTTCTAATTAAAAAATTTTTATCTTTTTCGAGTAATATACTTTTGTACAAGGGAACAATAATACATTTAAAATAACTTATTCTGCTAATATTTTTTCTATCGACACATGTTTTCATATCGTTAAATTGGAAATGAATATCAGAATACTGAATTTGAAAAAGATGAATTGAATTGAAAAAGATATAAATCAATAGTCATTTTATTAAAATATTATTATAATTTTATTTGGATGTTAACTTATCAGGAAGTCTTTTAAGATGTATACTGTCATCAAATAATTTTGCACAAAACTAAAAATCGATTGATTTTCGAATTAGTAAATTCTGCAGGTCATTAATAATACAACATATAATGTTTCAATTTTATCTTATTATTACTCTCATTCAAGTCACATTACATGTTTTAAATGATAAAGTTGGCAACAAAAATAATTAAGTTCAAAAAAAAAGAATTTATTTTGAAATTAGTTTTCTTTTCAAAAAAAATCGAAATAGTATAATTTTTAAAAATTAAGTTTAATTCAGATTTTAAAAGCATTAAAATGAAATACAAAGAGTAAAAAAGAAAAAGTCCATCAAATACTTTCAGTTATTATTAATGCGTGTTTATTTGCCACTAACAAGTTTTTTTCATGACGACATTTGTTAATTTTTAAATTTCAACTTATTAACTATTCATTTTATTAATAGCACTAATGTATTAGCATGTCAAATTGCAACACTTTTATAACAAATGATTTCTTACAAATTAGAAATGATGCTTTTAAGTTGTTTTGATGATTAAAATGAACAGCAATAATTTTATGTGAAATTACATTTGTTATTGTAATATTTTGAAACAACAGAACTCATTTCAAAAGTTTCTTTCAGAATGGTTTTACAGAGTTTTTTCTAGGAAATTCTACAGTATTTCGTTTTCTTTCAGAAGGATACGATAGAATTCCATTCAAAGAATTACTTTATTTAATTGAGGTATTCAACAAGTGAAACGAATTGTGCAATAATATTCACAAAAGCAAATGAATCTCCGAAAAGTATATCTACAATTTAAAATGCTGCAACATTCGGAGGCTTCTGATGTCATGTGCAATATTATCATATATATATATATTGAAACTACAATTTAATCACTATCATCACTAATTACAAATCTTGATAGTTTTAATATATAGAAGGAAAAGAGGGCGTAAAACATAGAAATCTCTATTGCATCAAAAATTAACTTGGAATTCAAAAATTTTTCAATTTAAAAATAAAATCACAGATAACATGTAAAATTTGCCGTAGTTTCAAGAATTTATTAAATAAAACTTTTTTAAGAATTTTAGACTTAATTAAATAATCTAATTAAATTTTTAAGTGCCAAATAAATTGAAAATTAAGATTATTGTTAAAATAATTTGCAAAATATAACAATTTTTCCTTCTTAATTTTAAAAATGAGTACAACGCTTAATCATTCAATTTTAATTAACACCGTGCTATATTGCAACTTGAAATATTTAATAATTCCTCCAGTTCCTGTTAAGTCATTAAATTAACCAATGCTGAATTTTCCTCAATTTTCAAAACCTGTTCTTACATCATCACCTAATGTTGTTGCTATCCTAAAATGGCATGGAATTTCTTTGATACATTGAACTTCTTTCCTTTTCTTCTAATTTGTAGCATGTTCACAAATCTTTAAAAAATTGAAGACTTATTGCATTATGTCAATTTTTTACTTATTAATTCTATGACAGTTAATTAGTTTTTAAAAATTCTACAAAAAATCCTTCATTAAAAATATTGGAAAAGACATTGATTATGAATATTATTTCAATATATATCAAGTAAAAGAAAATTTTACTCTTCTAATTCATTTGCAAATTGTATTTGATAGTAAAAATTTCTAAAAATATTTTCTAATAATGGATAATACTATTGTTGAAGAATTAGAAGAAGGTAACAATGATCAACTAAGATCAATATTCAACTAAGAGTTAATTTTAATGCTCAAACTTAATTAGTAAATGTGAAAAGAAAATATAAAAACTTTTAGTTCTAATATTAGTAGATCAAAAAATTTTTTCAATTGAATTTAGTATTTCGGCTATTGTCACATTTGAACATTAAATTACGAAGATCAATAATCAACAAAGTCGTCCTGTTTCACTTTCTTTTTTCATTATATTTATAGCTTACCTTTTTAAAAAAAGTTTTACTGATAATCAGAAATTGTTATCAATGATTTTTGATTTTGATGTAATCAAAAATCTTTCTGACTACATCACATTTCAATGGGATTCCTCCAAAAATAATTTCATTGTTTTAATGGTGCTGTAGAAAACTTGACCTCAATCATTTCAATTATTAGTTCAAGTTTCTTCTATTATTTTAAATACAAAAAGAAACAATTTTCATTGACACGCAAGAAGTAACAAAATGTGGGAGATTCGATGAATAATTTTTTGCAATTAATTCATCAATTTTCAATTAAAAAATTTCTTGCCAAATATAAACAACAACTTAAGCAGGTAACTGTTTAAAAATTTTCATTCATTTTGGTAAACTTTTTGATGTTATTAAAAAAAAATAAATAATTAACTTAGATGATTGATTTATATTTGATCAAAGAAAGGATAGAATGCAGTAAATTTCATTTTGATTTTCAACAAAAATTTAGAATGAATTTTTAACGAACATCATTGATGGAAAATAAAGTTGTGAAATGCACTTTTTATTTTTAGCAGCTTTTTTCGGCAGAATTTCTACCTGTAGAGTTTCTTCCGGTAAACACGTTTTACGATATGATCGTGAAACTATTCATTTACTTTTTTCAAAACGGTTAATTATGCACCATTATAGAATATATTTCGCTTTAATAGAAGAAATGAAATGGAACTAACTGTTTGCAACTGAATGACATATCGGAAAACTGAAAGGATTATTTATGAAAATAAGAAGTAACAACCATCCCAGCGAATTTATAAAAATTTGACAAAAAAAGATTAACATTAGGAAAATTGACTTGGAAATTTACGGTTTTTACTATTTTGCAGAAAAAAGTGTATGATAAAATTTGAATAGCAATTGATAATTTTTTCGCAAAGTTTCTTATTAATGCAAACTTTCGATATTTTACTTCCCTGAAGTTTACACTATAAAATAATTTATTTTATAGAATAATAATATTTTTACAAAAAATTTTAGAATTTTTTGAAGTGGTAATCAATGATCATTTTGAAAGTGCAGCTTCTGCAAATTTTAGAAGCTTATCAATCCATCATTATCAAATCAAAGCTGTGTGATATGTAAAAGTTATTTTGGCTATAAAAATTAATGAATACAACCAGTTAATTATTCATGGCATCAAGAACCGCTATAAATAAGATATGTTTACTTATTTTATAATTATATGAAAAATTAAAATTAATTATATGAAAAATTAAAATTAAAAAAGCGACCTGAAAAATCGAATAACTTAAGCTCTCTAAATTTCAATCATTCCGAAATAAGGAAATATCTTTTTTTAAAAAATAGAAAGTATAAAATGATAAAATATATCGAAAAAAACAGTAGGTAAAAAAATGAAATATGAGCAGAAGCAATAATGCAATTTCGATAATTTTGCTTATTGAGAATGATCTCTGATAATCCTTAAAATAGAATTGATCAGATCACAGGTGTCATTATGAAATGACAATAAGATCTTTACAGTATGTAAATATATGATATTATACAAAATATCATTTTAAGAGAGTTCCATCAAATTAATTTTTAGTGCACCGAAGTATTTTATTTTAATTATTATAATGAGGAAGAAAACGATTTCATCAATGTTTTCTTTAACAGAATTCAATTTCAATAACAATTGACTAATTGTAAAAGCGAGCGCAATTAAAACAGCATGAAAACATTTATTGCTTTTTAGAAAATTTATTTTAGATTATATTTAAATATAATTTGTCTTAAATTTAGAACTGACATTATTGGATTGTAAATAAAAAGAATGAATACGATAGTTTTCCTCATTTTTTCAAAATTTTTGCTTTTTATTAGAAAAATTGATAAGAAAGTTAAAAAGGAACGAATGTTGAAGAAAAATTCATTTGCAAAATTAATGTGAATTTTAAATTTAAGACAAATTTTGATCAATTGTTGAAAATTCGTTGAAAATTTTAAAATATTGGGAAGATGTAAATACCATTATTATATTATATTTGTTATCATATATTTGTCAAAAATTGAAAGAATTTTAGAAGTGATTTAAACGATTGCAATTGGATAATTTTAAAATGACAAATGAAACAAATTAATTAACATACTAATAAATAAGTTAGCAAATGAATTTAGTAACTGAAAGACAATTGAAAAAATTTTTTTATCAAATTTTTTTGTAATTATTTAATTAAATTTTAACGTTTTTAAACAAACAGAATTCTATAATTTATTTATAACTAATTAACAAAAATTCATTGCTATATGTAATAATCATTACAGTTTAGGAACGGTTATTACCATTAAATAATCATTTTACCAAAGAAATTATTTCCTACAATAAAGATAATAGTAATGTGATTGATGTAATTTATCATTATCATTACTTTATATCATGATTAGATCTTATCATTTCATCTATCTTTACTATGAGTAATAGTTAGATTATTTATTTTAGAGAATATCACGGAAAAAATGGAGGAGAAGAGAGATAAGAGATATTTCATAGTTAAAGAGAAATGCTATCTATTCAAAGAGCTTGTTTTTTCTCAAATCACTGTTTGAAAAAAAGAAACTGCTTTTATGATGATAATGGAAACACACGCATACGCACGTATATTCACGTACAAACCAAATACACATACATACACTCACGTACACATAAATGCATACACGTAATACATGCACACACACACGTAAGCATACATATACATTCATCATTTCACCTTGATTTGCCATTAAATGCAATTTGCATTCTTTATGAATTTATTGCAACAAATTTATACTTTTTTGGCGAATACTGCAGGCTAATTGGCAGTTATCAATCATCCAATTTCGATTGGCAGTGCATTCTCCCGCGGATGCCCAA